AGCAGCCGTAAAGAGTCGCTTATCGTAGCATCACATCATTCCACGACAGGGGCTCAAATGAACCATAGATTCGGGTAACTCCATACTCTTCCGAAAGATGCAATGGGTTATTTAAAGTGCACACGAGTCAGATGTGTACACTGGACCTCCATTTCCAAGTCCTTTTCCGAGAAGACTTGGTTTAAAGAACCGAACTATTGGCGAGGAGCGGCTGAAACCACCACCGATGTTAGGGCTGTAGTTAGCAGCGCCCCTGCCTTGATACTCGACTCATCTATAGGGGTCTGAAGTGTATTGCAACCTGTGAAATTCAGACAGCCTCCTGCACTTTTTCAACCAAGCAAACTTTTTTTTTAAACTAACCCAGCTCCCAAAAACTAATGATATTTGCATGTTTTTACTGCTGTATTATTCTGAATACAGCTTGCGATAGGTATCACAAAGTGCAGTGAAGTATAATTGGATGTGTTTCGTAAGCTCATTTAACAAATCTTTCGGAAGTGCCCTCTTTCAAATTGTGCCCCCTGTTATCATGGTGGTGGTGGTGGCAGGTGCTGATTGCGGTGGTGGTGTTTGTGGTCATCAGTGGTGTCAGTCATTTGTGATGGTTGATGTGGTGGTGAAGTAGAAGTCATTCAATTAAATCAGATTATGAAAATTATTACTTCGATTACATTAATGTGAATTAAAGTTGCACATGGAACTATACTATAAGTTATAGCTCACACTACGTTGGGGTCAGGGTGCACAAATGGTCACCCTTGCTCAAATACTATTAAGGTGATAGAGATATAACAAATAACAAATAGGATAATAAATGGTATAAAGTCAACTTTCAATTATTGTACACCATTTTTTAGATATATACATATATATATATATATATATACACACACACACACACACACATATATATATATATATATATATATATATATATATATATATAAATATGCCTATATTTACTGTTTTGATGTTATTTTTTTGTTGATGTGTAAGTTTTAAATGGAAGGGTAAGAAGTGTACATGCGGAGAGAAAAGGAGTACTTTGAATGTTGTTTCTGAAAATAAAGGAAGATAATATGTTTTATGGAATAACATTTAAATTTCCATGAAAGGAGGGAATGGAGGAAGGGTGTAATTTATATATATATAGTATTGGTAAATATTACTGTTTACTAAGAAAGATTATTGTATTATATTTTAGAAAATCTTTGGCAGTATATATCAAGTTTTGACACGGTCGTGAAGTACTCAGCCCTTCTGAAAACAGAAAGCCCAAGTTGCTAAAAGCCCAGTTTGCTCCTTCAATGAATGGGATCCTTTAGAAGAAGTGATCGTCGGACAAGTTGAGAACGCTACCGTTCCAGAATTAATGCCAGAAATCTAGGTAGGCCGGTCATGAATGCTAAATCTGTTCATAGACTCTGTGACCGATAATCGGAAAACTTCAAACTTCATTTCCGCCTGTACTTCGCTTGACGATGCATGCGCTTGCATATGCGGAACGTTCGGCTGCATTTTTTGAACAGATCTTCAATTCCCGATAGTTTTCGGTGACAGCCACGCTGTAGAGAAAATGCAGCTGTTTTTTTGGGGTTTTTTTGGAGCAAGGCTTAACTGGCATCAGACGCAACCACAGCCGCAAGCTGGTGTTGATGCAAATAAAGAAAACGAAAGACGTCCATTCCATTTAATTTAACTGTAATTTCTTTCTATTGTGAGCAAGATGAGCTGCGTTAGGCATGCGAGCTGCTAATTCATGGCTTAACCTTTTACAC